AACAAAACCAATACGTTAAATGTTGTTCAGATGAAAGTGATCAGTTCTGAAAAAACAAGCCATTTTACCGTAATTAATGATCGAACCTCTTGAACTACTTTTATGTGAATAGATAATGCATAATTGTGCTGGTGAAGCTCTTTACAATATCAGCCATGGACAATTGCAGGATTGACTACTAAACCCATTTTACCTAGATAGAATGGGTTTGCCTGATAGGATTTTCCCCAGAATGGAAGATAGGTTGAATTCCACCACAATAAATACTAATAGGTGGGGTGTGGGATGGACTTACCTCCTCATGGTGCACCCTGGGCAACGTATACTCATACGGCAAAAAGTCTATTAACCGGCAGTTAACTTCTGACTTCAAACTACCATCACCCCATTGTATGTCATATTCGACCCCAACACAGTACTCACCTTACCCTTTCTGAGCCTTGGTGTCTGCCTGTCTCTTTTACATCTGTGAATCACTCTTCTGTCTTCCCTCCAGAATTCCTCACATTTTGATGTTCCTCCTCCTCCCCTCTGTGAAGCCCGAAGTCAACTAAAGGTCTAATGATAACTATCGAAACGCCTGCCATTTGATATAAATAGGTAGGAAAAGAGTGGGAAGATGCTTTCCACTTGTGCAGTTGGTGTATTGTTCCTTCAATTACGATTAGCGTCATTCACCCATCAGGTATCATTGCGTCAACAATGTCATAGCCCTGCTAAAGCATTGACGGCTATTTCAGGTAATTTCTTATTTTATTTAAGTAATTTCCCAATTCAATGTCATTTATTTAAGCTACTCACTTTCAAGTAGTAGCACAAGTTTCTGATTAACATCGGTCAAAGCAATTAATCCAGTCTTTCTGCTGGTACTGGCATTCCTTAGTTGTAATTTATCTGCTTCAGTTTGTGGCATTCAATCCTATGAATGCGTACACCTTTGACGAATCGATTAGTTGTGGTGATAAGAAACACAAGACTAGCCCATTTTTAAGCCACTGAACTTTCAAAATAAGCTTCATTGGAACTAAACTCTGCTGTTAGACACGCGTGAGTGCGGTTGGGTACATTTTTCAGTAAATACTTCGGTCGTTAATATATTAAACTTAGGCTGGGAATTTACTCCATAGATTTGATTACAACCAACTGATACCTAGAATAGTGGATAAAGGGAAGACTAAAACTCTACGATCAATTTGAATTCATTTCCAAAGGGCATTAGAACCTATTTCAAAATGTTAACAGGACAAACTCAAAAATAGGACATCCCCGATAGCAGTCTGAGAAGACAAAGTAAATTCTAACATAGTCCATAAAATAGATAGCACACTTACTTCCCCAACCAAAGTGAAATGGTCAAATAAAAGTCAAGAGCCATTATTCCAAAGCGCCAATATAAGACAATGAGGTCAGACTAACGTTCCCAATTACCGAGAGGAAACGTGGAATGTGCACAAATGATAGAGCCAAAATGCATGAATACTTAATTGCTCACATGAATCCTCTTACAGATTAAGCTATTTATATTTACGATGTTGAATTCCGATATTGGATATCATTGAACCCGTAATTCAACTCGCTCTCATTATCTTTCCGATTCACTAACATAGAGATCTGACTTCTTACAGTTTCTTTCATGTCATTCAATGAGAGGTAATAACAGATTTGCCGGAATTCGCCGACAACCCAAAGAGTCGTGGGAGAAGACGACATTGATAATTCATACCCCAGTTCAATGCGCCAAGTTGAAGTCGGAGGGTGGAAGCCAGAAAAAGGCACTATTCCGAAACCTGGATTCCAGACAGATGGGAAGTGACGGAAGGGTTCAAACTCGTTTAAGCACTTTTGTTCTTCTAATTTCACCTGGCATAACACTGCAACACTTGGATAGCTCGTCATGTAGTCTGATTTCATTCTAATATCTTTAGAAAACCGTTATTTGGTATTTACCAGCCCACCTCCAATATCATTAGTATAAGCCATCCATTTAATGTCAGAGCTGTGAAGTCACATCACACTTATCAATGGAATTTAAAGGAACAAAAACACTATTGATCAAGTTTGTAACTAATTAAATTAACGCAGGAGAATGCATGATAGATACTACACTGTTCTTTTGTACAATGAAAAGCACCCAAAGTGAATGATTTTCACATAAATCGCCTGAAAAGGGATTTTCTAAAACCTTGGCGTTTAGAGAGTGGAGCAGCGATTTCCGCTTGAATTTCAGCGAATTTTGGCCAATTTGACATGCGTCCAAATCCAGCCAGAGTGAGTGGAGATTGCAGCATTCTAGACAGGAGTTGCTGGAGGTCGTCGGCTGTTACGGCGTCTACAGGGTTAATAGAAAATTATCATCAAACCAAGTCGAAATAATATTTGATTCGAAATAGAACTCAGACGGGTGTGTTTTGGAAGCTAAAGATTAAGCAACTGTAGTTTTGCTGAACAGGTCCCACTATTGAACTACTTAAAGGTTATTTGAAATTAATTTGATTTCCTAATCTTAATTTATTGTAAGTCACCACCTAAACCGTTCAGGTGTTTATCCGCGTACATTCAGCGATGTGGATGATTACCTGGACTGGTTAGCACTCACAAAATAGAAGTAAAAAAGTAGAATACATGTCTGTAATAAAATGCGTATTAGGATGGTAAGTTAAGCTTGATCAAAAGCCTTCTTAATGAACTGATAGGACGACTTTGGCGTTTTTCCGCAAACAATAAGTCCCAGGACATATGAAAACAAATGGTCGGCATAAACTTCCATAGCAAACCTTAGTATAGATAGATCAAATTTCAAGTGTGTAACTGGAATCTCAATAACAAATAATACCTGGCTACTAGACTGGTCATCCCTTGGTCTCTTTGGTGCTTGAACTCTACAACAGGACTTTTAATTCAATAGCATGGTCAAATGGATTTAGTCCGAAGTAGATAAAAGCGGAAAGAAGGGGACAGCTGATTAAACTCAAAACCGATTGATTTCGCACTTAATGCTATTCGACACACTTTGAAAACCTCTTACATTGGACAAAACGTTATAAGTCGACAATCAACAGTATTTAGCCCTGAGTTCAATCCCGTTATTAGGCGAAATGCCAAAATTGAAATAAAAAAAGCAAGGTCGATTAAAGTACAGAGTGGTTTAGTTATTGCAACATTATTACGTAACGACCAATATTCAACTGAGGTTTCTTAAGAGATTTCAAAACCATTCCACCGAATCCTAAGAATTGATTTAATACTGATGGGTTAACTAATACATTAAAAAATATGCAAGATCGAATTTTTTAAAGAAGGAACTAGATGAACTTACTAACTCGTTCGACCCAGTATTCGGGGTCTTTCCATTCACCAGAAGCAAGAATTTGCCGAGCCATGTCCTCAAAGGCCACTGGGCGCATCTCAAGATTCATTAGTAACATAGACTCCAGCTGATTTTTGGCTCTCTGAAGTTCTTCCTCAGAAATGGGTGCTTCAGCAGTGTAGCGTAGTTCGTTCACCAAAACTCGTATCAACTGATGCAAATTTGATGGCTCTGCACTACCGGTCACAGTGAAGATACCTGCGTCTGCGTACACGTGATTGGTCGCTTGAGCAGAGTTCACCCAGTGATATCTGAAAGGATGGGAAAGACCAATTCGTAAATACACATTTGTCTTTTTACTTTCTTCTTTAGTAATTAACTAGATTTATGCACCCTTTAAAGTATGATGCTTTAGTGACTTGCAAATTCATTGTCCACTTACCAAGAAGCTGGAAGAATTTTTCAATGGAATTTATAAAAAATGATATAGATTTGCTTTAATAACAATAGATATGCCAAATATAGGACAATGGAAGCGATAGCCGCAGAAATAGCAATCTCTTTCTCATGAACCAACCGAACAGTATGAAAAAATGGACATATGTCACCATCCATTCGAAACTGTGAAATACCATCAGTACACCTATAGTCTAATGAAGCTAATAAGCCTGTGCATTCACCCGTTCAACCACGATATGCGTGAAGCAGCCGAAGCTGTGGCGTCAGACAAATATTAGAGCCTTCATGAGAATAAGTTAAGGCGTGCAGTCAGCAGAGTATAAAGAGTACAAATTATAGGACACGAAAAACTGAACTCACTGATTGAGGACATTGGTGTATAGCCTGGAGTACATGCCTTTCCCGGGTCCGCCAGCGGAGAATGAGCCACCACCGCCCAAAAGGGAATTGAGAAGGCAGGAGGCCACAAAGTCGGGGTGCTGCGAGCCACAACCCTCCAAACCGATCACACAATGGGCGAACTCCGGCATCGGTGCGTGGTACTGCGAGAGGTCTCTAGCCAACTGTGGGAGGGAAATTCAAAAGTAAGAATTTTACAAAGGCACCGCGTAACCGCAACTAAAGGCTCATAGATGAAGAAAAGATGACCCAGAGGTCATTATGTGTCTTTTTTAAAACATAAGAGATCAATTTTTATCCTTTAGGACGATAGCTTCAAGGTTGTTTTCATCTATCAAAAATTGATTCTTTGTTGCGCACTAATGAAACGGTAGAATAAAAGCTCATGATAAAATTTGAGACTTTTCTTAGAATATACTTAAGAGAAATCCTCGGAGCAATCTTCAACGAGGAAGACTTTGGGACTCTATGCAACTCACATCGATCTGTCATAAGGCCAGTTCCTAAGATCGATAACATTGGGATGACAGTGAAATAAAGTGCTACACAATGTAAATCGAAATCCAGGGAACGAAAAATCGAATTAAAACTATCAATTCTAGAAAACTGCAATTAAACTTTCATGTTATAAAAAGTGGGCTTCCGTTATCAAACGCGAAACTAATTAGAGATTGCACAATTTCGATGCAAATTAAATATATAGAGGATATACATTGCTGCAGATCGACATTTTTTATTCCAGTTCAAAAGGCCGGAAAGAATTGTATCGGGCACCAAGTATATGAAAAGATACGTTACAAAATTTGTACACAAACAAGTTGGTTTGAATGAAAAGACGATCGAACTATTGAAGGTACCATGACAAATGAGAAGAAGTTAAATAGGTTTGTATGCAATAAAAATTATTCACAAAAAATAAAATATATTTAAAATGCACATAAGACATACAGTAATTTCGCCTCCGTAATAAATTGGGGTCGAATCATCAAGTTTCAGAAGTTCGCTTTCCGGCACTTCCTTCCCATAGGTAGTCTCCCAAGGCAGAAAAGAGGCTTCGACACTTTTCAGCAGCTCGGCGTGATCTACACCTACTCCAACGATAACCATTCGTTCAGGCCTAAGAGAAATTCAGAAGTTTAAATAGACAACGAAAAACTAATTCGAAGATCTATTTTGATACTTTTATCACACCTATAGTAGGAAGCCATGAATTTTATGAGGTCTTGGCGAGTGATTTTTCCTATTGATTCTGGAGGGCAGTATCGTGGAAATCCCAGGGTGTTAGAACCATGATAAGCACAAGAATGTACAAGATCGTTCAATATCGGTTCAGTGGGAGGAGCCATATCGAGAGTGGCCAATTGAAAACCAACCACTCTGGCAGCCATATCAATCTCTTCTCCGCTCAACTTCGGACGAAGAACAGTTTCAGAAAGAACATTCACAAGATCGCTAAGATGAGAATTTATCCCTGAGATGGCATAAGCAATGAAATCTCTCGAAATTTGGCAATCAAATATTGCGCTACAGGACTCCATTTTTGATTGAATAGCATCTCGATCCTTAAAACGATCGGTAGACTAAGAACATAAAAGATCATATGGTAAAATTACATGGAATCCGAGTTTTTCAAGATAATGCGAAACCCCACTGATTGTTCCACTTTCATAACGAGGCCCGGCTTTTACAACAACTAAAAAATAGAACAAATTTCAAATTTAAAACAAACCTCCTAAAGTGCACTGTATTCCGAGATTATCTTGAGATGCAACAGTCAAGCCATTCGATAGCTTAGTAATGTGAGCAGAAGATTTGCGGGATAGCAACGAAGAGACAGAATTAGTATCGAAATTAGGAAGGGATTCAGTTAGAGGAATCTTCGCAAAATTTGTGGAAAATTTGCGGAACCTAGTAAAGTTCGAAAGGAGTCGACTGTATCTCGTGGACATCTCGGTCTGCACAACTATACACAAAAACAAACAGCTTTGACCTAATTCTCATTTACGGACTAAAAATGTTCTAGGTCATTAAGTAAAACTGGCCAATGGGAATAAAGCTATAGTAGTGAATTTGTTTCGATACTTGAACGTATTATATACTGATGTAGGTATTATTTAAATATTTCATTTGAATTCTAGGTCCTGCCTAAATGTTTTAGAAACTATTGTATCTCAACATGGCTCGGTTTCTTCCGTAAGGCTTCTCTATCATGTAATATTTTTTTAGGATCAATTGGCGTCTTTTGTCGTTAGTATTAAAAATCAATTATGCGAAGGAATTGAGTATTATCAAAAGGACAGGTGGGAAATTTTTTGCAGTTTTACAATAAATAGTGTTTTGACGACGGATTCTGATGATTTGCAGAAAACGCTGATTGCTAAACTTTCTACTTTTTTGTCTACGACTCCATTCATATCAGAATTGATGTATAAGGAATATTTGAAGAAGATGGAGTCGAAAGGACTTCTTATTAAGGCGGTAATGCATGACTATATATGTGTTATGTTTTAACTAGAATTTGTATAATGTTTCTCGAACTCAGCAAATGCTGGAGGAGATTCGCAAGATGTACTGGTTCGACCGAATGAGCCTGATTCAGTTGCAAAAAATAGTGGCTTCTCATAGTGAACCTTCGTGGTTTTCTATCTCCGATCTCCTTTTTGGAGCCACTAATTTTAAAAACTATGAAGAATTTACTCAGACGGTAGGAGCTTTGATTTCTACTTGAAATTCGTTTTAGCTTCTTAAACAATTTGGCATTTTGTACCAAAGTTTTGCAGGACTTCTAAGCAAAGTATTCAGTAAAACGGTTTGTTTTTACTTCTTAACTAAAACAAATATAGGCACAAGTAGAACTTCATATTGATGCTCAGATTATTCAAGTTCTACGGGAAATCGAATTAACCCTTGAGGCGATTTTAATATCACTATCTAGTGGACTAGACTCTGAATCAATGTTCCCTTCTCTTTTGAAAGAGTTCTGGGAATCCTCCTTTTTCTCCAGGAAAGAATTAACTTGTTTATCCACTACTTGTCGAAAAGTCGCAAACCGAATTCGGTATGAATATCATTCCATGATTATTTTAATTTAAATATCTCTCTTAGAAATCTCGAGTGCTTTATTTTGATACGAGCTGCCCGTCTTGAAAGGCAATTGGATGATCATTTCATGAAGAATCATGCAAATAGGCTAGTAGCCAGTGTGTCGAGTTTGAGCAAAGTACAAGGAAATGCTCCAGTTTTTTTGCTCGCTGCAGTCTGTGGATCAGTTTTTGGATCGACAGAGGAGGAAATTTCCAAAGCCGGCAATTTAGCTTTTGTGGCTATTCAAGAACTGGATGCTTTTAACTACCTTTGCTCAATTTTGCAGGATCGAAACTTTTCTCCTGGGGTAATAGACATTTTTAACTGAATTGTATCTTTTTCTAGACCAAAACGAACTCCCAAACTTCATCAGATTTTCATCTCCTTACCCTGCCAGAGAGTCTCAGCGTTGTTTCTCTGTGTTCACACTTAGCTGTCTTTGATTTATTAACTCTGCTTGCACGTCAGGTCGCAGTTGATTCTTTGGGAGAGCATCGGACTGCATTCACCCGTGTTCTAGCAAAAACGCTATCTGTTATCGTTCATTGTAACGGCAGCATGAGTGTCGCGGAGACGAACTCCTCAAGAATTGGACAAGGAATTGCCTCTGTGATTGAAGATCTTGCTCAGCGTATGCTTAAATCTACCTCAATAAATAATGTTTTTAAAATTGCTTTAATTAATTTGAATGAACGCCTTTTAGGGTTCCCTTTGGATTTGGATCTACTACAAATTTGCATAGCCCTGCTCAATACTGGAGATTGTACTCAAAGCAGTAATGACACTGACGATGATTCAAGCATTCCCAATATCGTGGTTCAGTTCATATCCAGCATCCCTTATTTCGCTGAGCGTTTTTCTGATCCTTCCATTTTGCGAGGCCTGGTTCGTGTTCACGATAATCTAGATGAAGAGGAGGGCGGAGAAGTTGCTGTCAGTGTGTTGCGACAACGTCGATGCTATCCTCCTGATGCCATGCAGCACATAGAACAGTTCTCGAAAGACAGGTCTTCTAATCACCTTGCTGTGAATATACCTGCTGGAACTCGAGGTGATCTAAGACAAGGTTAGTTTTCTATTTTTTGCTTGCTGTTTTCTTCTTATGGAAACGATTAAACGGTACAATAAGATTTTTGTAGTTTATTTTTCAATAGGAACCTTCTTCATTTGAATTACTCACCTGTTACTTTGTAAATGGAGTTCCATTATCGTAAATGCTACTTGGATGCTTTATACCTTTAGATGGATTTGTGGTGGTGTGGCAAAGGGACTACTCAATTTGGCCAATTCTCAATTCAATTGCTGTTTCAGCCGAGCATACTCTTTTGAATGGTCAAATAGATGACCCGTCTCAAGTTTCCCTCACTATCACTCGTCTCGCTTCCTGTTTGGATTTTGTTGATGCCTGCTTGCTGGTTTGTTTATCAAGTTCCTTTAACTATTGACTCTATCTCTCTCACTTTTTAATGCATGGAGAGTATTTAAACTTTTCATAATTTCGCAATATATCCGGAAGCAGATTACATTTCTGCTCTTCTGAGAATTGGAGGTGTCATTTCAATAATCTATTATTTTCTATTTTTCATTATAATCTTTATAACTTTCAAGCCCTTTCCTAGCGAGTTCTGATAAGTTTATGTGACATTTTGTTAATTTAAAAATCTTAATTTACTCTGGAGAGGTTCAAGGGCCCACTCAAACCTTATCTTCATCCTGTATGAGACAGAATGCTATTTTCTCTCCTTTATTCATCCATGGGGTTTTTTTGGAGTAATCAGCAAAGACCTCAACTTCAACGCCAATCTAGAAATATGTCCTGTTCTCTTACCTTTGACTTAACTGCTTAGTGTAAACACGTGAGAACGAACACTCTTGCTCTTTCCCCAAAGTTATTAGTATTTATTTATATCAAGTGGCAGGCTTAATTATAGTCATTCGTAGCTCTTTAGTTGACTTCGGGCCTCACATTGGGGGGG